GCGCATACCTTGCGGCTGCCTTTGTCTGGCCCAGGAACCTGTTTGCCCAGGAGGCATTGCTGCCTATTCTGCGTGTGTGTGTGTGTGTTTTTTTTTATATATCTGATGCCCTTTCAGTGGATAATATTATATAGCCAACTGATACGTGACGTAACGTAAAGGCTAGATATATATATTTGTAGCTTAATATAGAACATTCGATAGAGTATATCAAAATTGTGGTGACACTTCACTTATATTTCTCAATTTCTAGTAAAATATCATTACAATTTGTATATGTATGTATATATTATGCCTATAATACCTATAATATAGTGCAATCTACTTAAGAATTTAAAAATATTTTAGTAATTATATTTCTATTTATTCGATTTCTTTCAGGTAAATATTCCACATGTAGAACCTGTTACTAGACAGAAGACGGCTATGTAAGTTTTAACAATATAAAGTTTTAAATATATATATAAAAATGAAACTTTGATTTTTTTAAAATTCAATTTAATGAATGAATTATTAAATTAATTCTAGTCTGTGATTCTAGTCAACAGTTAAAAAAAAAATTATTAATTAATAACAATTTTAGCTGAAAAAAGATCTACAAAAATTCTGGCCTGGCAGCGTATCTAATATTCGTGAAGACAACTCATTTATATTTTTTAATTTTTTATATGCTTGAGAATCAAAGTTGATAGCCGAATATATATGTATAAAATATTTATTGTTGATTGATATCGCCTAGGCATTTTGATGTAAGCAAAGCGCGTGCAACGCAAAATTTCATTAAAATATTTTAGCAGCTGCTCATATAAATATTTAACAGATTTTATAATTAATAGCTTTATAAAGGCTTTTGATACATTGTAATGAAAAAATATATATAATTCAGTCTATTGGCTAAGGAGCAAGGCAGAGAGAGGGAGAGAGAGAGAGCAATCAATGAGGTCTATCTGCTGCCGTTAAATAGGTTTTGTCTAGGTCGACGGCTAGCGGCTTTTAGCTTTTAATTGATATTCTTTTGATGTGCCTTTTAGTGTTCTTCTTTGTCGCAGAAGGCTTAATATATTCTTTTGTTATTGATAAATGTGGGCAGCTACAATGCAGAGTCTAATCTGTGAGATGCTAAAGGAATGTTAATTGTTAACATTTTGTCAACCGAATGTAATTGATTGCCTTCAATTTGTCTTTTAACCGAAGGAAAATGCATTTAGATATAGCTTTTCCTATACGGATATACTATTGAATTAACTGTATATATTTAAATTCGATTGCCATTCGCTCGCATATCATTTGCTAACCATAAACTCATTAAAACAGTAGCCAATTGGCAACGACCGCTCTCTAGCCACTTTACACCGTGAAAAATCGAGTGCAATTTGCATTATTTTTGCTTGCATATCTGATTTCGTTTCGACTGTCCAATAAAGTGGAAAGTCTATGAGCGCAGAGGTTCCTCTACTACTACCTCACATTTTCAGGCTGAGCTCGTCAACATTATTTCAAAATGAAATTGAAAATTATAGTGTGCGATCAGTTGGTATTTTTTTTTTTTTCTTCTGTTGCTGATGCTCATTATGTGTGAAGCGGGCTAGGTAGGTACACGCATACATACAGACGTAGATAGGTGTAGCTTTATAGCTTACAACTGTAAACCGGTTCAGCGTTTGGCTGCGCATGCGCCGGAAAACCTGTCCGGCGATTCGCTCAGCCCGCAAGACAATACAGTGGTAGAGCACACACGGCGCACAACAACAGCCTCAATGGCGCATCAATTATGTTAATGAAGCTTTAAATGTGTCTTGATATTGAAAAACTTACTGCTACAGGTTTTTCACAAAAAAAAAGGATAAGAAGAAGAAGAGTATATACATAATGAAGAAAAACGTTGGCCGGCTGCAGCAAAGCCGGTTTTTCAAATGAGAAATGTCAATCGCAACATTATATAAAAATGAAAAAAAAAAGAGTCTAAAGAGCAATTTGCATTTGGCGACCTTTCACACACACACACACACACACACACCAAATATCACATTTGAATTGCTTCCACACCTTCGCACCGTGTCACATTCAGTTTTTATACCCTGAACCCATTGAAAATGGGAAATCAGGGTATAATGGTTTTGTGAAAAAGTATGTAACGGGCAGAAGGAGGCGTGGCAGACCCCACAAAGTATATATATTCTTGATCAGCGTGACGAGCTGAGTCGATATAGCCCTGTCCGTCTGTCCGTCCGTCCGTCCGTCCGTCCGTCCGTCCGTCCGTCCGTCCGTCCGTCCGTCCGTCCGTCCGTCCGTCCGTCCGTCCGTCCGTCCGTCCGTCCGTCCGTCCGTCCGTCCGTCCATCCGTCCGTCCGTCCGTCCGTCCGTCCGTATGAGTGCGTCGATCTCAGAAGTTATAAGAGCTAGAGAGCTGAAATTTGGCATGCATANCTCTGAAAGTTTCATGAAGATCGTACGTCTACAAAAGAAATTATTTGACAAATAAATTCTCATAATATTGCCCACACTGCAGCGCAGCCCAAGCGCAGTCGCTGCTTACTGCGCAGTTAGCAGAGCGCAGGCTTATGCGTGCGTGTGGATGCATGTGTATGTATGTGTGCATAAAAGAGGTGCAGAATAATTAGAATATCAGCTTAGAGGGTTCAGGGTATCTCCTAGTCGAGCAGTCTCGACTGGAGCCTTCTTACTTGTTTATTTTTCAGTTTTTCAGTTTTCATTTGTAACTTGGCTAACGAGCTTTTGTTTTGTATTTTAGCAACGGGAACGGCTCTGAGCTGCCTCTGACCCTGAGCTGATTCAGCCAATAGTTTATGGCCAACACGTAGCTGACTTACATGCACATGCATGTGCGCCATATTTCTTCTGGCTGGCATTTTAAGTCGGCCTAAATGAGCGTATTTGTAAGGATTTATCCCTAATCATGCCTGCTGCACACAGAATTTTTTTTTTCCCCTTTTTCAATGTCATGTAGAATGTTCACGCTACATACCTTTTATTGAGTATTTTATGATGCATTCGGCATATGGTAAAGGCATTTGCCTAGCTTGGCTTTCATTTTACTGTGAACCTCTTGAAAATGGGAATTCAGAGTATACGATTATTTTATTGAAGAGTATGTAACAAGCTAATTCTGGCTTTGCTGACTTCTGGAATTATATATATACATATATTTTGTCTAAGAATCAATCATTTCTGTCTGTGTATTTGGTTCTATATGTGAACTCGTTGTTCTAGTAATTTTATATTCACACGCGCACAGAAATTCTGTTGCATATCATCAAAAACTTTTTTTATTTCCATGAAATCCATTAAATACTTTATTAAGTCACTTGCATATACTTTGCACATTCTGAGAAACTGATTCACTAAATTTGGTATATAGATAAGTTGGACAGAAAAAGATAGAGATAGGCAAATTATAAGCATTCTGGAATAATTACCCCGCACAGTGGGCTAGGTATTCTTTAGTAAAGTACTGTAGAAATTCATTAATACATATGTTGGGCTCAGCAATCATCGCTTCATTATGATTAAGAGCGGCAGTTCATAAAATATGTTATCATTTAAGAGAATTTMTAACGGAGATCACGCTCTCCCTTTTGCGTTGTCTTTTTCACCCACGCACCGGCTCAGCTTAATCCGCCGGCTCGCGTACATTGTAGTTAGTATACAATTAACTCTTGTTTAGAGCAGATGCAGTGTTAGATTGACTATTACAAACATAGTAGCGGACAGCACGACAGCCTAGTCGCTTGCTCGCGTCTATCACATAAACTCTGTAAACTCTAATAATCGCTAATAAACTAATCCTTAAGTAAATTCAATCGTTTAATAATTTAAAGCTATTCGAAAAATCTCGATAGCTCAACAACATATATATCTTATATTTTATTATATTCCCGACTATATCACTTKTCTTATATTTTAGTCAAGCACTCTCGACATTTATTTATATTTTGAACTATATCACTATTGCACTTTAATCATTAAGGATTTCAAATTCCGAAAGTCTAACCAAGCTCTCACTAAAATGTTCATAAGCAATTGTTTAAAATTTTAATTATATTGTCTTAAGAATAACTATCAAAATTCACTTGCATTATTTTCAAGTCAATGATTGAGGATTTTAAATCGGAAAGCCTTACCAAATTCCCATTAAAAATTTAATAAACAAATATTTAAATTTTAATTATAATTAAAACTATACAATAACTAATAATATTGCCAAAATGTCTTGAGAATAGTTATTAAAAGTCACTTGCATTGCCTTTACGCTTTGGTATTTCAAGTATTTATTTATCTAACACAAAGCTCAACATGCCTCGTTAACATAAGTTGCTTTTGGGGGCACAGACTCAACCGCGAGTTTGCCTTGGTCGAGTCAATTGCAAACTGGGGGCTGGCATTTGGTTGCAATGAGGTTTATGTTTACGATTATGATTATTAAAAGCATTTTTCTTATGCATTGCATTTAATGCAACGCTGAGCTTTGGCAGCGCTTGACTGTGCTGAGATTGTGATGCAAATAGTTGGTTATAAAAATGGGGTTGGTGGAATGCATGGGGGAAAAATAGTTGCAGGGTTGTTGAAGGGTGGCTTAAACTATGGCAAGGGCAAAGTTGCGTGATATTTTCAATAATAAAGCCAGGCAAAAAAATAAATAAAACTATGTAAACCATGACGCTATGGAAAAAACCCAAAAGAACGAAGTTCATACCGAAAACCATAAGAGAAACTATACATAAAGTATTTTTTTAAATATTGAAAAAAAAAATCCGGAAAAAAGCTTTAAATATATTTTTGAAATATATATAAAAATATTCGAACAAAATAGTTTCGACTACAAAATATATAAATGAATATTTGGTAAAAATAATTCCCATAGCAACCTTAAAGATAACCGAAACCAATATCTATCACATACGTATATAGTATAGCCATAACCATGCCAAAGAAAACTATGTAGTTAACTATAGATCTTTTTGCATATGTATATAGCGTACCATATCGGGCCTGAAGTACACCTGTTGCGTATACATGGAACTTTTCAGTGAGGACGTCTTATCCGGGAATAATATGCATTTCCCTGGCATAGTTCCTCTGCCTGTGCCTGTGTCACCATTAATTGTTGTGGTTGCTGTTCCTATTTGTGTTGGTTTTGTTGTTGTTGTTGTTGTGGCTGTTGTAATGTTGTTTGCTGTCAGGTGATGATGGCCAACGCCCACATCTGTTTTCTGTGCTGTCAAACTGCTCGTCGAGTTGACTTTGGAGGCGTGCGATAGGCGTTTCATATGCGTCCACATCTGATGCCATGGCGCCGCATCTTTCTATAGTTTTTATTTTGTTTATTTGTGGGGTGTTTGTTGGCCACACACAAGACGTAGAGTGGGTTTGTTCGTATATGTATAGTTTAGTGTAATGAGTCGGTTGAATTGAGAGTGTACGAAAAAATAGAAATAAATACAATTTTATTTTAATTGAATGCGGCCAATTATTGAGTTTTCAAAACAATAATGTTTTAGGGTATTTTTATTTAAAATTTTTAATTAAAATTAAAATAAGATTTTTCTGATTATGTAATAGTTTTACGAGTTGTTTGATGTAATATATCCCATAAGTAGTTTTCAAATTGGTTGTAAATTTGAAAAGAATATATTCTGTGTAGCTTAAAATAAATTTGGCGTATTTAAACTTACATATTTTATATATTTAATAAAAATCTGTTGATTTCCTGTTCACTCATGATCTTTGAACTGTTGAAATATATACTATAGTATATTACTATATACTATAAATAATTTTTGTTAGCTGTATACTTATATATGTTTTTTTCTTTTTAGTTGTCAGGCTAGTGAACCCCGAGCACGATTCAACCGCTCGCACTTAGCACATGGCACGCACTTAACACCCTAACACATAGAAGCTTTAAGCACACACACACACCCCCAATGTACAGCCCCCATTTCTTAGATATTATGATGTCATGCAGTCGGCTGTTAACAATTCACTATCCACCCAACCAAAGCCAACAGCGTGAGCAATTTAAATTTCATACGCGTATAGTACAATTTGTATACTCGCTCACGCAGTTGAAAGAGAGAGTATATTGGCTTCATACAATGTTCGCCTTGCTGAAGGTCTTCCATATAAAGATATGGTGGATATATATAGTTTATTTTCTATTTTTAAGGTATAAATATTCCTTTTTTTTTAAGGTGAGTGAGTATTATCCAGTCGGTATGACCCGACTGCAACATTTTGCTTGTTTTACTTAGTACGTACGCGTACGGGGGCAGCATGATGTCAGCTTTATAGTCCGGCTATTATGGAGGTTTGTTTTTAGTATTATTATTTTTATTTCTTTTTTTTTTCGTTTCGGTTTGAGATAACGATAGACGCCGGCCCCTTGATAAGGCAAATATTTTTGTGTAATTTCTCGAGCAATTCGCTTGACTAACTTGATTTACTGGAATATTTATGACAATTTGTTGAGGTAGTCATTCTATTTTTGTAATTAATTAATATTAAAAACGGAATCTCTTAAAGAATGAGGTAAACGATGGTGAATCATTGTGGTATGAATAACAAGATGAGGTAGCTAGCTTGGGAATATGAAGAGTTGAAATTAATTTGTTTGTGTATTTGATTGCAAGTGTTCATTAATATCAATTCGCGAGAGTGATTTTTAAATATTTAGCTTCTAAATAGTATACAATAATTTAATGTTGATTAACAAATTGTTGGACTCCCATTTTGGTGAATAATATTTATTTTTCACATTCTAAAAATTAATATTTGATATAATTTCTTTGAAAAGTTTATCTATTTGATTTTTCTTTTCTAGTAAATTATAATTTTAACGGATTTATTTAGTTTGAATGTTTTTCTATCTTATCTTCTAATATATTTTTTAATATAAAAAACTTTGTAATTTTTCAAAGTATATTTTTTTTATAAAATATATATTTACTTAACTTATTTCATGCGAAAAAATATCTGAAAATTCTGTTAGTCTCTTTTTATTGAATTTATAAATTTCATAGCTTGAAATTTTTTATTTCATATATAAACTTATTTCATATCCAAGTTTCATAACATTATTTTTACAAGCTGCTAAAAAATTGTATATATTTACACATATTTCCCGTTTAAATAAAACAGCGGCAATTAGCCATCATGACAAGCAAACACACAAATACACATATACTATATAAACACGCATATGTGCACCTAGTGCACGGTAGCTGTGGCCAAGGCTAAGCGCATAGCACATGCATCTGTTTTACACAATGGGCGCCCCTCGCATCATAATATTCATAGCTCATACTCAGCAAAGCTCCAAACCCCAATGCGGTCAGCAATGCATTTAAAAGTCATGCCCTTGTCGCTAAATGGGTCTCAAAACGCCCACAGAGAGGGAGAGAGAGAGAGGAGTAAATAGGTGAAAGAGTAAATGGGTAACATGGGTGTATGTCCCCCTCGCTCTGCAACAGCAACGCAACGCGCTAAACAAATGAAAATGATTTCCGTTCGTCATGCAAACAGTTGTGCAGCACGCCCCTCCACAGCCCTCTGCCCACGCCCTTTAGCCAAAAAAAAAAAAAAAAAAAAAAAAAAAAAA